AAAGTACCATGGACTGCCAGATGAACAAAAGTTGGAAGAAATACAACCAGAATGATCCTTAGACGAGAGGATGGTGAGACTTCATCTCTCATACTTTGGACATATTATCAGGAGGAACCAGTCCTTGCAGAAAGACATCATGCTTGGAAAAGAAGAGGAAGATCAAGGTGGATTGGCATGGTGGCAACAACAGTGGACTCAAGCATGTCAGCAATTGTGAGGATGGTGCAGGACTGGGCAGTGTTTTGTTCTGTTGTGCATAGGATTGCTATGACTTGGAACTGACAAACAGCGCCTAACAACAACAACAACAAAAACAACATAGAGGGGACCCAGTATACCAAAAGACTCAAGAACATGGTTGTCACCACTGATGCTGTTGTTGTTAAGTGCCATGGAGTTGGTTCCGACCCATAACGACCCTGTATAGGGTTTTCAAGGAGTGACTGGTGAGCTTGAACTGCCAACCTTGCATCACACCAGGGCTTCCATGAGCTACCGGCTCTCTGCCTTCTTATCAGCTTTTGGTTAGAACAATTGGTGCTTAAGGACTGACCGTTGCATTTCTGCATTCCATTCAAGCAGTAGGTTTCCATGGATGGTATAACTTGTTCGTGATAGACACTGAAACAAAGGTACTTCTGGGAAATTCTAATAATGTCTCATTTTGTCTTAAAATAATAGGTTAACTGAAAAAGCAAAAAAGAGACGCTCTTCTTCACAGTCTATTGGACTTGTTATGTCTAGCAAGCAAGAGGATACAGGTCCTACTCAAGTAAGGCAAGAAGCTAGTCATTAAAATACAGCCTCTTTCAACATAGTTGTTTTTTGTTGTTACATGCCATTGAGTTGGTTCTGACCCATAGTGACCCTGGATAGGGCTTCCAAGGAGCGACTGGTGTGTTTGAACCCCCAGCCTTGTGGTTCAAACTGACTGCAGTCCAGTGTGTTATCTTGCAACATTCCTTTTTCTCTTCTCTATCTTTGGGGCTCCAACTCTTTTTTAAAAAATCTTCTTTTGGTTTCTACCTTAGTTATGTTGTTGTTGTTAAGTGCCATAGAGTCAGTTCCTACTTAGTGGTCCTGTATAGGGTTTCTTAGGAGCAACTGGTGAATTTGAACTGCTAATCTTGCCATTCAAACTGACCTTGCAGTCCAGTGCTTATCCTACAGCATCACACCAAGACTCCGTCTTAGTTATCTAGTACTGCTATAATAGATATACCACAAGTGAATGGCTTTAACAAACAGAAATATATTTTCTCACAGGTTAGGAGGCTAGAAGAACAAATCTAGTGTGCTGACTCTGAGGGAAGGCTTTCTTTGTTGACGTTGGAGGAAGGTCCTTGTTTCTTCAGTTTCTGCATCCTGGTTCCTTGGATATCTCCATGTGTCTTAACATCTATCTTCCCCTACCTCTCCTTTCAATTGTTTGTTGAATCTCCTTTATATCTCAAGAGATTGACTCAAGACAGGTTCTATAATAACCCTGACTAATTAACATAACAAAAATCTGTTCCCAAATGGGATTATAATAGAGGTTAGTATTTACAATTTTTAACATATTGTTGTTGTTAAATGTTGTTGAGTCAGTTCTAAAGGGGAGAGTATCAGTCTTCTGAGGTTGTATATACAGGAGCAGAAAATCTCATCTTTCTTCTATGGAGTGACTGCTAGGTTTGAACTGTCTACCTCTGATTAACAATCCATTGCTTATCCTAGAGTGCCAGAGCGCTCCCATACATAACTTTAGGGGGACACAATTCAATCCATAATATCCCACTCTTTGGTCCCTACAAATTTCTATATGTAAAACATTCACCCTATAATTTTTTCCTTTTTTTTTTTTTTTTCTTTCTGAGATACAACTAGGTCATTATTTCTTCAGTGCTTGCATAATTTTTGTTAATTTTTTATGCAGAAGAATATAGTACTTGCATATTTAATATTTAAGACTTGGAAGAATTAGATTTCTACCTTTAAAAGTGACAATTTCCTTCATAAAAATATTTAAAATATATTATTTGATATATTAAAAGCAATTGTTCAGTAGTCCAAGCCTACCAGCTGCTCTACTGGGAAAAGGATGTTTTCTGCTCCTACAGAAATTTACAACCTTGGAAACCCTGTTTAGGGTCACTAGTCGAAACAGACTCAACAACACCTGACAATAACAACACCTACTTTTGACTAGAAAAAAAAGTATCAGTATGGTTCATCCCTCACTTTTTTTTTTTTTTTTTACATAGCAAATTGTTTTGTTCAACACGGAAATGATTAATACAGGATAATTTATAGTAATAAAAATCTGAAGATAACACAAGCCCATTTATAGCAGATGATTGGTTAAGTATACTAGGGTATGTTCATACAATTGGATACTACACATTACATTGTGGAAGAGTGTTTAATGACCTAGGAGAGTTTATAATCTGTTACCAAAAGAATAAAATCAGAATAATACAACAGATTACCCAGAATGCTGAATTCACAAGTTATTTTTTTCCTTTGGGACTTCCCAGACTCCATTGAGATTATCACTTTTTAATTAGAAAAATAAATTATTAATAACTATAGCAAGTTCTGATAATATTGAAAAGTGAAAGCCAAGATTGTGATTCTCATGATCAAGACTATTCTCAGAACATTGGTTTATGAAACTTCTTGGAGTTGGATCTGCCTATATATTTAATGGTAGGTTTTGGCACTGTAGGATAAACACTAGACTGCAAACCACAAGGTTGGTTGTTTAAGCCCACCAACCTCTCCTCAGAAACCCAATACAGGGTCGATAAGAGTTGAAACTGACAGAACAGCACTTAACAGTAACAACACTTAATTATTAAAATAACCTTGCAACATTGGCATTTTTGTGTCTCTCTGATACTATCCAAATGGCTAGACATTTTAGACTTATTCTATAAATAGTTACTTCAAACTAACTATTGTTTATTTGTTTGTTTAGAGTCAAATAGAGAAGAATCTATTTAATGAGCGAACAGGTCCAAATGACCAAACGGCTAATGGGAACAAGAGGAAGCTGAATTTTCCCAGATCTGACAGGAAGGAATTCCATTTCCCAGAATTGCCTTTCACAGTGCAGTCAAAGGAGATGAAAGGAATGGAAGGTACGCATTTATTGCATAGCTTTCCAGATTTCCAGATGGTGTCATTACAAGAACTTTTTTGTTCTATAACTTATTTTTTATAGTGTGATTTAAGTAAAAAAAGAGTACATTGATGAGATAAGATATTTTCTGTAAATTGTTGATGAACTCTCCTCCCCTATACTCAAATAAGGGATAAAATGTAAAAGATCATTTTAAAGAGTGATTAAGAAAGCTTTAAAGAATGAAATTTTTATTAGCTCAGTGTTGTTGAGATGTTAGAATAGTGTTTGAGAAAATGGCTTTGGTTCAGTATATGACTTGGAACAAATCATATTCCTATGTTTCTCCATGCTTAAAAGCCCACATATTGGCAGGAACTTTATAAGTGTTTCAGGCATCCAAGGAATTCGTAGAGTAAGATTCATAACATATATTGAGTTCTTAAAATGAAACTCTTGTTTTGCACTGAGTTCATATGTTTCTTTGAAGAACAGTGACACCTTGTGAAAAGTTAATATAATAGCAAGAATATAGTACTTGGCTAGATGAAGAGGAATAATCTGTTATCCATTTAACAATTTTACTCAGAATTTTTTTTTTTAAGTAAATTTTTCTGTTTAATACTTCATAGACTATTTGTAAACATTTTGCCAGTAGTACTTATGATATGTTCAGTTTCTTTGTAATAAATTGAGAAACTGACTTCAGAGGGCATCCGAATTTCTAGTACTATTGGAAAGGAAAGTAAAATTCCAAGGTAAGATTGACAAGTTCTCTATATTTTTGCAAAAGTTAAACAGATAAAAGTGCTGAAGAGGGAGTCAAAGAAAACAGACTCAGCTAAGATACCAACTTTGCTTAATATGGATCAAAATCAAGAGAAACAAGAGGTAATACTTTTTTCTTCATCACTTTTACTAAAGAATACTCTAGTAACATAGTGGTTAGAATCAGGTTGCTAGTCTTACGGTCAGCAGTTCAAAACTACCAGCTGTTCCGCAGGAGAAAGATGAGGTTTTCTGTTTCTGGAAAGATTTACAGCCTTGGAAACCTGGTACAGTGTTGCTATGAGTCGGAACCGACTCCATGGTGCATAACAACAACAATTTAGAGCCGTTGACTCAATGTACTAATGTAATTAATACTACTAGAAGATTATATAAAGCATCAAAATTCTGTAATCTTTGAAGTCTAGAAGTAGATCTGTAGTTTTGTAGAATTACCAATTACTAAACATTCCTAAAATTTCTTTGCATAATGAATACCAGGCCACATTTGAATGTTGCATGATTAAATCACATGGTACCCAGGGAAAATATTATCTGTGTTATGTGTATAGCCTAATATTGGACTGTTAAGCATGTCACAGGATATGAATAGGGTATGAACATATCGTTATACTGACCATGAGCACACATTTATGTATCTTTCGCTTCTTCCTTCCTCTCTCATTCTTTTCAATATATTCCCTATCTCTGCTATGCACTTACTGTCCTATTTTTAGAGTTGCTCTCAGCTAATTATTAGGTTGTTGCTGTTGTTGCTAAGTGCCATTGAGTTAGTTCCAACTCATAGCAACTCTGTGTAGGGTTTCCAATAAGGGACTGGTAAGTTTGAACCACCAAACTTGCGGTCTTGCTCTTATCCTATAGTGCCACATCAGGACTCCAAAATTATCAGATACTCTTCTTGAAATGTCCACAGCCCCCACCCATCAGAATGATCTTGAATTTTAGGGGGAAATCTTGAACTCCTCGACATTCAAATAAGCATCCTCCTCTAAAAGTGCTCATTTAAGGGAAGAGGATTATACTGAGTGCCCATTGAGTTAAATCATATACATAGCCCATATTCTGCACACTTCACAGGGCATCTCTATAGGTGATTTTTCAACTTTACTGTGTTTTTCTTTTTAAAAAAAAATTGATTACATATTTTATTCAGGATAAATTTAGCTCATGTTTTGAGGAAATTAGAAAAATAGTTGTAAACTTTTATCTGAAGCAATGTAGGAAAGCATTTTAACTAAGGCTATTCAGTCTTTAGTATGTTCAGATAAAAGGGATATTCCCACTGTGGCATTTAGGGCTATGACTTAATCTCAGTATGGAACTTGATAGCGTCACAATCCAATTTGCAGAAAAAAATTTATTGTAGAACAAGAAAACCACTTGTGGTCATGTTTGAGTTCATTATAAAAACTCATACGTGACTTTAAGCTTAGGTGAGTTGTTTACTTCACAGCGTGGTGTGCAGTGCACTGGTTGTCCAGTTTGAAAGACTGGGTGGGTGAGGGTGGACTCCTGAATCTGGACAGACTAGTAATATGCTACGTGTGCTTATCTCTCTGTTCTGTGAGACAAATGATCTTCCAGGACAGGAAAAAAGGAACTCTCAGAACAGTTCTGTCATCTTTAGAGTAATAAATCATCTGGGAAAACCTTTTTTTTACTCATATGGTAAAGATGACTTTTTTAAAAAAAGTGTGACCTTGAAACAAGTTGTAGTTATTAGAAATAACTAGACGTTATTGATACTGGTTGTTTTTTTCACACGTTTTCCCCATTCAAATGCAGTTCCTGATATAAGGATAGACTAAACACTAGTAATAAATTAAGGTCAGAATTAAGAAAATTTCCTACAGTTTGAGTCTATAGTTTGTTACTTTAGAGCATGGGAAAATATGACATATTTTAAAAACTACTCCTTATTTTAAGATAAGGAGTAGCAATGTGTTTGTTCTATTTTTGGCTCTGCCCTGGACTTCTTTTGTGAATTACCCTTTCAGGCAATGTAAATGTAGCTTAAAACAGTATATAAATGCATTAAATAGACTCCATGACCAAGGAAACCCCTCAATTACTGTCAGTGATGGATAGAGTCCATACTAATAACCACCTTCAGCTCTGCTTGATGATGATAATAAAGAGGACTGCTGTGGTAAATAGTCTCCACGTACCTTATGAAATAAACCCGAGGTGCAAAGTACAAGGGCTCATCTGTGGCTGTAGTTACTTAGCTAGAGAGTCACCATTTCCTCAATTAAGGTCCTGTTTCTGTTTACTAGTTAGAATACAGGAAATGCACAAACTGAAAGGAAGAAGACCCTGCCAGATGTGGTGTAGAAAATGCAGCAGCTGAAAATCCAGGGAATCCCAGAATCACTGTATGACTAAAAAAGAAAAGAAAATCCTTTATATTGATTTTACACACACAAAAATGCTGATGAGAGAATTCTATAGATACATCGTAAATCCTATGTATTCTGTGTATATTCATCTACATTTATTTTTAAATTTATTAACCTTAAATTATTCGTGTTTTATTAATTTGAACATTAATTTATAAAAACTGCCTGGGTGGTACATCCTAGTAAAATGTCAGCTTACATTAATTAAGTCATATAATTATACTTTAATGATCTATTAACTCAGTCATGTTTGATTAGTAGTCATTCTTAACTTTGGTTCAGAACTTCATTAATTACAGAAGGAAACATATCTAAATGTGTAATAAAGTGAGATCCCAGTTTTTAGGAGCACCAAACAGTACTGAGCGAACAAATACACTTGATAAGCATGAAACACAGATCTGGTTCCATATGTGACCATTCTAGAACAGCGCTGAAACATGTGTGCTGAAGACTTTTTAAAGAATAAGAACTGAGCAAAGCAATTGAAACAACTTGTTTAATTTGAACAGCATGTTTATCATTTCATTGCTTACAGATAATTTAACATTAATACAATCAGGTTTTGGCAGCATATATTTACATTCTTATCCCTGGTTCTTACTAGCTTGATTTCTAATTTTAGGGTGGAGATGGCCATTGTGAGGGGAAGAATTTGAAGAGGAACCGATTTTTTTTCTGGTAGTATCTTTTCTTTGAAATTATCTTTAAAAAGCCAAATTGGCAACTCTTCCCCTTTTTTTTCCGCATAGACTAGAACTGTAATGAGAGCTGTTAAGACAGCAATCCATCTGCATTAGTATCACCTAACTTTTTGGATGATTTTGTTAGCAAAACATTCACTGTTTAGCTTATGGTTTGGGTTTTTTTTCCCCTTCCATATAAGAATTCTGTTGATGTGATGTTTAACTTGGAACTATAAAATCATCTCCTCTCTGCCTGTTTCTTTACTTGCCATGAGGGTGACAATCTGTTACATGACACATGCTTTACTTACACAGATTTTTGTCTTTTATTCACACTAAACACAGAACTGTGGGCAGTGTAAATGGTTTACTCTAGTCCATTGACCAAAAGGTTGGTACTTCCAATCCACCAGCAATTCCACAGAAGATGATCTGGCAACCTGCTTCCAAAAGTTTACAGTCAAGAAAACTCTGGTGGAGCACAGTACTATTCTGAAGCACATGGGGTTGCCATGAGTTGAAATTGACGTGATCAATGGGTTTGACTTTTGTTTAGTTAACAGAGATATAACCTTTCCCAGTATATATAGGCTTCTTGAAGTGGGTCCTTAATGAAATAGCTGATTATTGTTTTAAAAAGCTATTCATTTTCATCAAATCGTTAAAAAGAGATTCTGTTGATCAGCAATAAAAGCGTTTTTAACAAGTATAAAATATCAAAAAATGTAACAATTTTAAACGTTAGTTAAATTCTTTTGGCCCTTTAAATTGTTGCCAACATCTTCCAGGTTCATAGTTTCATCTGATAGTGCCTTTTATGTGTACAGGTTTTTTCTATTTCATGAAATAAATTATGTACAACCTGGAAGGGGTATGCTGCTGAAATTCTGGATTGTCCCATTTCTCAAAAAATCACAATTTTTTATTATCAGGTGTTTTAAGAAAACTAGTAGGATTTTGTATTTACTAAGCAGACTTGAAAAACAAAGGAAATCAGTTTACTTAGCACAGTTTTGTGATCTCTTTTTTTTCTTTAAAAAATATTTTTTATTGTGAATTGTGTGAAAGTAAACAGACAAGATCATCAGCGTTTCAACCAATCATACATTTTGTTTCATTTCAATAATCATTGTAGTCATACTCACCTCCCTGTAACAACAGTTGTTCTGCTTCTACCCTATGGTTTCCCTTTTAAAAATAAGATTATTTTTTTACAACTGAATAAAGCAAAAATGTTTAATGTACCTAGTATAAAACAAAAAAATACATATTCATTTAAATGTCCAAAGGGCACATTTTGCAAGCTAGACTCTTGCCCACAAGCACACAGCTTTGCTCAGTCCATGGGCTAGAGTCCTCAGCTGCTCTGTCTCTCTATGCCATCACCTCTGCCACTGTTTCTGCTGTCCCCACTTTTCTGGTTAGGATCCCACGCTCCCCTCATGCTCTTCCCTCTTGCTGGTCCTAAGGTCCTCTGTTCCTGAAATGACAGATTAACTACTCCACCCTTTTAGTCACACATCTTCTACATTTACAGTTGTGACAATCACAGTTAGTCCTGATAACAATTACATGCAACTAAATCATAAAATCCTATCCCTATCATCCCCCACCCCCTTTCACCAGATCCAGCTGGAGAAGAGGAAAACTATTCAGTGGGGATCCTACCTTACCCCCCTCATGCTGAAACTAAACACACTCATGAAAGCTTGTAAGTCAGTCACTTCATGCCTTTATAGTACCCCATTTTTGATAGCCAACGTCTAAGCTGTCAACCCCATTGCACTGAGGAAACAAACTTGGTCCTTGATCTGAAGAATCCTTCAATTTCATTTAGAATTTTGAGCAACTGCATCCATAGCAAAGGTCTAGTTCATCAAATTATAGCAATTTATGCTTGCTTCCAGTACTGTGATCTCTTTTCATCTTAGAAAAAGGTTTATTAGAATTAGTAATAGTTGAGATTATTGAACACAGTATTCTTTCTAAGAGACTTGTCAGCTGTAGCAATTAATTTGAAAGTTTTTTGAGGCACAGCTCCTCTAGGGAAATCAAGCCTTGTTCCCTGTGCTAAGTTCAATAGATACAATCTTTCTATTGCCTGCTCCATGGATCTGTTTGTCTATCGTTAACCAATAGTAAATCCCGATGTGGTGCTATAGGATAAACACTGGATTGCTAACCGTAAGGTCAGCAGTTCAAATCCACCAGCTGCTTCTTGGAAACCTTATACAGGGTTGCTGTAAGTTGGAACCGACTCGATGGCACTTAACAATACCAGTAGCAAAAGATTGTCAGTTGCTTTTACAAAAACACTTGCTGTTATTTTCATTGGGATTATTAAGTACATTCATCATTTGAGGAGAATGTATATCTTAATAATATTGAGTCTACCAATTCACAAGCATGATATAAACTCTCCCTTTATCCAGATGATCTTTAATTTCTGTCAGCAATATTTATAGTTTCATTGTAGCAGTCTTGTATATCATCTTCTAAATGTATCTTTTGTGTTTTGGTTTTTTGATGCTATTTTATAATGGTATTGTTTTTTAATTTCATCTTCCAACTGTTCATTGCTAAGTGTATAGAAGTACAGTTTGTTTTTCTATATTTATCTTGGCTGTATTTTGAGCCCTTGCTAAATTCACTTATTGGCTTTAAAGGGTGTGTGTTTCTGTCTGCGTCTGTGTCTATAGATAGTTGTTGTTAGCTATTACTGGTCAGCCCCTGACTCACGATGATCCCATGCACAATGGAATAAAACGTTATTCACCCTATAGCTTGCTGGTCAGATCATTGTGATCCATAAGATTTTCATTGGCTGATTTGCAGAGCTAGATCTCCAGCCTTTTCTTCTTAGTCTGGAAGCTCTGCTGAAACTTATTCAGCATTACAGCAACTCATCCTCTACTGACAGACAGCAGCTGCACAAAGTGTGCATTTGCCAGGAATCAAATCTAGAACTCCCTCATGGAAGATGGGATTTCTACTACTGACCCACCAAAGTTCCCTTTGCATTCATGACATCTACAAATAAAGACAATTTTAATTCTTCTTTTCCAATCTTACTGTACTTCCCCTATTTGTTCCCTTGCCACCATATACTAATGGCTAAGACCTCTAGCACAATATTGACATACATGAGAATAGATATGCTTGCCCTTTTTCCTATAGCAGAGAGAAAACATTTTTCTTTCCCATTAAGTATGATGCTTTAGGCTTTTTGTAGATGGTATTTTCCAGATTGAGTAAAGTTCCTTCTATTCCTGGTTTCCTGAGAGTCTTTATCATGAATGGGTGTTGAATTTCACTGAAAGTTTTTACTAAAATGCTGTTATGATTTTCTTCTTTTGTTCTGTTAATGTGAACTACCTTAATTAAGTTTTGATTGTTAAACCAACACTGCATTCCTAGGATAAGCCCCACTTGATCCTTTCTATGTATTGTTAGATTTAATTGACTAATATTTCTAAAAGGATTTTTGCATCTACACTAATGAGGGATTTTAGTTCTTATCTTTTCTTGTATTGTCTTTGCTTGGTTTTAGCGTCAGTGTTATGCTTCATTAAATGAATTGGGAAGTGGTTCCTTTTCTTCTATTTTCTGAAAGTTTTGTGGAATTGGTTTCATTTTTTTCTTGAAATATTTGTTAGAAATTACCAGTGAAGCCAACAGGGCCTGTTTGTGTGTGTGTGTGTGGAAAGATTTTAATATGCTATAAAATGGAAGCATCATAAGTTATCTAACTTCAGGGGGAAATGAGAATCAAGATCAACATCAGCCCAAAGCTGATTTATACAAGGTGGGAGGTCAGACATACCTCGACTCTCTAATGGCTTTACAAGTTGCGATTCCAGCTTTCCTTCCTACAGCACGTTCTATTCTGCTGGGCTCAGTAATTCATTGTAATGGTAACAGAGAACTCACAGACCATATTCATGATTAAGGGGTTTATTTATTTGGGAAGGTTATAACTCAAAACCAGGATCAATTTGGAAGTAGCAGCTTCTAAGATATCATTCTTCAATCAGGACAGCTTCTCAGCTGTGTCCACAGGCGGCCTCTGCCCTGCTTGAGCAAATGTCACAGCTTTCGTTCACTGATAATTCCACCAGAAAAAGTCTCTTACCCAAAGGTACCTAGTTTTCTTGTTCTTTGGGTTGGTCAACCCGCTGCAGCAATCTTCCTTTCCTGTACAGCTCTTTGTCTCTGGGGACCAGGAGGTTCTCAGTGCAGGGATTCTAGGTCCAAATGATGCACTCTGATCCTGGTTCTTCTTCATGGTGTTACTGAAGTCCCCCTAACCTCTGGGGACTCATTTAAAATCTAGCAGGATGGCAAAACTGACCAATCTCCTTGGTGGATCAAAGGCACCTTATTTACATATCCCAGCCAATGTCAGAGTTTCACACACCTTGCTTGCATAGCCCCACTCAGTTACTTTGTAGGAGTTACAAGAACCTGGACAGAAAGGCCACACAAAAAGAGAAACTATTGGAACAAACAAGATGGCGGATCAGGTGGACGTGTAGTAAAGAACTCCGCCAACAACAACACAGAATACCCGACCAAGCAGGCTCAGGGGATGGTCCCAGAACTCTGAACCACACATAAAGGAATATTTAGATGGTTGGAAGGCTCACAGCTGGGGAATTTGTGGCAAAAGCAAGAAATCTATTGCTTCCTAGTCTGGGATGCTCAGCTGCTCCAGGAGCCGCCATTTTGGGTGAAACCAAGCGGGGGAAGGATCAGAGCGGCCACAGATGCCTGGCAGACCCGCTGAGATAAAGGTGTGGACATTCTTTTCTTTTGGTATCTGTTCATTGGTCCCTTGCTGTCTGCGCACCTCCATTCTGGTGACT